GCTTATTATACCCATGAATTAACTCTGTTTTATGCACGTTTTGATTACCTTGCTAGGTCAGTAATACACTCTACAGCTTATCATACCGACAAAGTTGTATCCGCGTTTTGTTTGTTTTGTTTTACTTGTTCAGTAACACGCTATGTACAGCTTATTCTACCTACGAAGTAACTATCTTTATGTGTGTTTTGATTGTCTTACTAAGTCAGTAACATAATATCTACCGCTTGTTGTTACCTATGGCTGTACTACGCTTTAGCTTCAACATAATTACCTATAGTCATATAAAACATTACGATTCTTTAGTTTTGAGCCTAAAGAACTTAGTCGAATATGATCATTCAAAGGGTCTACTCCCATCCTTATATTTTGCTTATCTTCAATGTATTTAAAGAAATCCATACTATTTATAATGTTTTTCTTTAATTTTATCCTCTATACCCTTTGTGATCCAACCTGATTCTTTACTTGCAGCATACCTTTTGTTTCTATAAGGAACATGCCTGTTTTGAATATTTAAGAATACATTTTTTATGTTTTTCCACCAATAATCAGTATCTCCAATTAATTCGGTTGCCCAATACAGCAGATAATTATTGTCTTATCTCTTCATTTTTTAAAAATTTGGAACTATAATTTCATTATTCCTTGCCTCCATATGCAGCAAAACATCAAATCTACTTGTGTGTAATGATCACCTACACCCAGATGTCTGCTAACCTTCACCCTGTCAACCATTTCTATATTAGAATTTAACAATAAATTTAAAATAGTGTTGTTCCTAGTAGGTTCCTTAACCAATTGTTGAAGAAATCCATCCTGAAAAGTTTCTAAAAACCTGTTTCTCTCATCATTTTCTAATCTATATGCCTGATATTAAAATCTCTCATAATTATAATCTCATTAAGAACTAAATTCTTTATCTCATTGTAAAATTTCTCATTAATTTCATCACTTTCTTCTAGTGTTCTGTAACAAATTCTAATTAAAAGCCTTCTCCCCTTATAACCGCTAACAGAAACCCAAATAAATTCCACTTTATTGCTATTAGCTTTGATATCCTCTATTTGAACAGGATGTAACTGACATGTTACATATAAAGCCACTCCTAATCCCTCTCTTTCTTAATACTCTATCCATATTACACAACCTATAACCCTGTATTTTAAAGACATTCCTGTATTCAAAATTATCTTCATTTAATCATGTTTCCATTACAACAAAACCATCTTTTTCGACTAAACCCTAAAATCATCCATTTTATTTATTATATTCCAGCCTTACAGAAATAAAAGTTTAGCCTACTATTAAAATGACTTTGTACTTTGTTCCTACACTATACCTTTCTCTTAATTTTATTGTTTTTTCACTACTCTGGCCCACACCACCTTCTAGACCTAGTTTAAGGTTGCCCTTATAGTTGACTTAATACTGCTTGCAAACAAGTTAGACCCTGCCCCATTTAAATGTAAACCATCCATTTCAAAAAGCTCCCTTGTTTCATTTAACTGATCCCACAAATCCATTCAACCGACCTACTTGTTCTTACATGTTAGGTCGTCAAGAAATTAATGTCGCGTTTTGGAACACTTCATTAACCCCCCCCCCCCAAAAAAAAATAACGAGACACACATTCGGCATGTCATGTTATTTAAATACAGTAAGGGAAACAACGGCTCTGTAGTCACAAAGAATATCAAAGAAGTTTATGGAAATGTTTTGAATGTTCGTAAGCGTC